ATATATATATATATATATATATATATATATATATATATATATATATAGAGAGAGAGAGAGAGAGAGAAAGGTTCATTTGAGAAGTGGTAAGTATTTGATAAGTAAATAAATGATCCTAATTCCTAGCTTTTCATCTGGTCAACATTTGCGGCTTTGACTTTGAAACACCGAATAATTGCTTGAATGGGTATGCAGAAGATAGAGGGATGGTTTCATAACTTTTACAAATAGACGGCAAACAAGTTCATATGCAAAACCGTGTGATTCATATATGAATACGTTAAATAGTTCATATGTGAATCACATGGGTTCATACATTAATCAATTAATTAGTTCATATCTTAATCACAAGGGTTCATATATGAATTAGTTAAAATAATTCATATGTGAATTACATGGGTTCACATATGAATATATAGTTCATATGTGAATCACATGGGTTCACCTATGACCTCGTTTATTTATAAGAGTTACGAAACTAACCCCTCTATTTTTCTCCTAACCGCAAATTTTGATCAGTCAAATACGATCTTGACCAATCAAATTCGATCCTGACCTATCAAATTCGATCTTGAATGAGGGGCTAAAAAAATCACTTATTTACTTATCAGATATTTATCACTTCTCAAAATAACCTAATATATATATATATATATATATATATATATATAGAGAGAGAGAGAGAGAGAGAGAGAGATGAGCGATCAAATGAAACCGTCCTCATTTGTGTAAACAATGTAAACCAATCTCATACATCCATTTTCTTGATCAATGGTCAAGATTAGTTTATGTTATATTAAGAAATTAAAAAAATAAAAAATAAAAAAAATATTTTATAATCCCAAAAAGGCAAAATGGTAAGTTTGATAGTTGTAATATTAATGGCAACCATATCATGTATATCGTAATATTAATGAAACAAAATCATTTGTAAAATAATATATTAATTTTATGTTCAAATATTATAAAAAAATAACATACATCATTAAAATATATCAACAATAAAAAAAACACACTATAATCAATTTAACATAATGAAACCTTTTGAATAAAAAAAAAACATTACTACTACATTTCATGAACGAAATGGTTTCACAGTTTCATCAATACACAAATCAACGTAATGCTAGATGAGACATTTGTCATTTTCAAGTTTCTGATAGATGGATCCGTTTCAATCTAATTACGAAATGGTTTCACTGTTATTGGTAGATGGATCCGTTTCATCGTAATAATGAAATGGTTTCACTGTTCGCTAATTACACATCATTTTTCTTATCAATTATGAAATGGTTTCACTTTTTTCATGCACCAATTTCATCAGCCAATTTCTTCCTATACGAACACGTTTCATAGAGTCAATGCATTTACCATTACATGTTTTGTTAACCATTAAGTGAACAAAATCATCCAAAAAAAAAAACAAAGTGAAACAATTTCATCAAATATTGTTGATAAGAAAACAAGATTATGCAAGAATATTATATTACGCAACCAGTTCATCACCAAAAGTTTTATAAAACAAGCTCCTCAATAAACGTTTTTCACGAACCAATTTGCATACGTTTCATAAAACAAGCTCTTCAATGAATGTTTTCATGAACAAATATAACATGAATCTGTTTCACATCTGACTATATTTTTACCGGTTCATGAATCTTTGTTTGGATCTGTTACTAATTTCGTGGATTAATGAATACAATAATTTTCGATTTTCATATTATTACCACTAATAAACCGAAAAAACCAAATAACAATATTCAATTTTTAAAATTCTAATTTAAATAAACATTTAAATATTATCATTTATAAAATTTCTTTTATTATATTATCTTAATTAAGATTTATTAATAACTTCCATATTTAATAGAAAACAATGTAAATGACAAATCTACCATTAATGATTAAATTTAATTAAGATAAAAAGAAATTTTCCTATTGGTCGAAATTGGTTTACACGGTTTCTAAGAATTAGACGGTTTTCATTTGATCCTGCCTATATATATATGTATATATATATATGGGTTGGGTTCACGTGAGACCAGCCTGTTTTCGTGAGACCCGTGAGACCACATTTTTACATGTAAACTTCACAGCAAAAACACTGTGAAAGTTTAAAAAAAGTCGAACCTTCACAACAAAAACACTGTGAAGGTTTTAAAAGTCATCTTCACAGCATTTTGCTGTGAAGTTTCAAGTGTAAAATGCTGGTCTCACGGGTCTCACGAAAACAGGCTGGTCTCACATGATCCCAAGTCATATATATATATATATA